TAAATGTCTGTTTGCTTTTTAAAGTTGTGTTACCCTGTATTGTCAATAAAAAATATTACATCTTGCAAAAGTTTGTGTATATTGCTTGAGTGGTAATTGAAAATGGTTGATGAGTTAGAAATGTGATGCAACAGCATTTAGCTAATTTAATTCTCTCTGGATGTTAATACTGAATCAATTAGAAAATGATTATCCAGTATTGGAGCACTTTAAAACCAAATTGATACGTCTTAAAAATGTGCACATAGACTAAATGCCTCTAGGCAAATTTTAGAAAGACAAGGTGGGTGGGTAATATCTTTTATCTGACCAACTTCTGTAAGGAGCATGTGATGACCTCTTGTTTGAGGTGGTTCCTGCTGGAATGAAGTACAGTAAGTGGTTCTTCCATTTTTTGAAGTCCTTCTGCAGAGCTATGCGATATAGAGTAGTCAGAGACTTATGGATGGTTAGGCCTCTGGGGATGATGTTTAGTTTCTTGCCTTGCTCATGAAGCAGGTGTTCCTGTTACATTTTTGCTTTCTTTTTCTCCATGGAGTTTCCATTTCAGATGGCAACATTCAATATCTTCCATTGTTGTATGCAGTGTTGTATCTGTGTTGGTCCATGGACCACAATGTTTTGGTCCTGGGATCAACATGGCTACAATGTCTGGTCAAATCTGTTTTTTGTTTCTTTAAAACCTTTTGGCTGCTTTGGCTCTTCTTCTTGTCAGCACAACCTATCACAAATATTTCTAAGGCATCTATCATCCTGGCATATAAACTCTCAAACCTTTGCATCATCACACATTTCTTCCCTTGAATTGTCTAGGAACTGTTCCTTCATCTATCAACATGGAGGAATTTTCGTTCATGAGGCTACCTATACTGAATCACCTACACTGCCAGTAGATGAAAACATTATTGTCCCATCACAGTTCATTTAATCTACAAAATAGCACACTTGAGGTTCTTAAAATCTAAAGGATATGGAACTCAAATCAGATACTAAATTATATTCATAGCTTGAAAAATACTCCTGGGGAAAATTCGGTCTTGAAAACAAAATGTATGTTTTCTCTTTAATCTTCTCAATGCCAGCAAAGACTGAAAATGCTTTTGTTCCAGAGCATTATATATTATTACTACTAACAGACAACTGTTAAAAATAATGAAGGTTGCTTAATAATTAATAATGAAGGGCAATACCTCTCCACACAAATCCTTGAAAGGAAGAACTTGTCCAGTTATGGTATCCTTTATTAACATGTTTTAACTCACATATAACGCATTTCCTGCTTTCATTGCCCTTCTGTGAATAAGCTCCATACACATCCAACAAGTATAGTAACACACCATATTCCTCAGAATCACACAATAATGCAAAACCTTAACTCCAAACTCAGCAACATTAACATACATCTATTATGCATCCAAGCCCAAGCAAAGTGTATAATGTATTATTTTTACATTAGATAGATATTAATAGTACTAGTGATATTCCCCAGTGTCAGTGTAGGGAATATCTGTTAGTACCAATAAATGTATTACATAACCATAACAAGTTAAAAGGAAACTTTTCAAGTGAACCCACTGTACTGATTATGACGATAACACCCACTTTTATTAGACTATGCTCTTTTTGAGGCTTTCGCAACACATGTTCAGACAATAGGCAAGACATGAAAGGCATTCTTTTCTAAGAAAAGCATCACCCCACGCATGCTGGACTTTGGTTCAAAATCTGATATCTGGCCATTATATAGGGATATACTGGCAGATTTTGGAAATCCACAATGTAGATCAGTCAGTTTCATATTGACTTTACTATCACTTGTATATATGTACAGTAGTTACACTGCTGTACAGTTGGAACAAATCCATAACAAATACATCTATTTAATGAGCCAGTCAATAAATACCAGGATTAGTTACATAATAAAAATGGTACTATGGCCTTGCAATAGCATTGGGTTATATTCAGAGCTTAAAAAATCCAGTCATCCACGGAGTGAAGCAAGATTAACTTGCTGAGTCCCATTCAACTTCTTCATAACCTAAGCTTTCAATTTTTAAATAATGGATATGTCTAGTCTTTACCACTGCACAACAATCTGTCAAACATGTACCAACTGAAAAACCAAAGCAGTGCTGTCTTCCAAAGTCTACAGATGGTTCCAGGTCTTCTATTGTGCTCCCAAAGCTTTTCCAAGTTGCAGCAGAATTAAAACTAATCAAACTTGGTAGTTTTCACTGCTGTTGTGTAAATCCATGTTCAATTATCTTCTGCTGCTACATAGGAAAGATATGGGTGGCAGCAGAAGCAGGCCCTGGAGGTAGCCACTGGGAAGGAAGCCTCAAAAGTAGCAGTCAGGGGAGAAGTACAAAGTATTAATATAAACAAATAACATAAGTATGCAGGGACAAAATTAGAAAGGCCAAGGCACAAAACAAGATTAAACCAGCTAGAGACATAAAGGGTAACAAGAAAACATTCTACAAATACATTAGAAGCAAGAGGAAGACCCAGGACAGGATATGCCTATTACTCAATGGAGGGGGTCGGGGTGGAACAATAACAGAAAATGTGGAAGTGGCAGAAGTGCTAAATGACTTTTTTGTTTCAGGTTTCACCAAAAAGGTTGGTAGAGATTAAACGTTTAACATAGTGAATACCAGTGAAAACAAGGTAGGTTCAGAGGCTAAAATAGGGAAAGAACAAGTTAAAAATTACTTAGACCATTAGATGTCTTCAAGTCGCCAGGGCATGATGAAATACATCCTAGAATACTCAAGCAGCTGACTGAGGAGATATCTGAGCCATTAGCGATTATTTTTGAAAAGTCATGGAAGACAGGAGAGATTCCAGAGGACTGGAAAAGGGCAAATATAGTGCCAAAAAACACAAAGGAAAATAAGGACTACCTGGAGAATTACAGCCCAGTCATCTTAACTTCAGTACCCAGAAAGATAATGGAGCAAATAACTAAGCAATCAATTTGCAAACACCTAGAACAGGGATCGGCAATCTTTGGCATGCGGCCCGCAGGTGCTTATCCTGGCGGGCCACGTGCCAAAGGTTGCCAATCCCTACTATAGAACTTCCTCAAAATAATTCCTACACCATATATTTTGAAAAAAACATCCAATTTTATAAACTATAAGGAATGATTTTAAACAGCAACAAATCGTTTAAAATAAAGAATTTTTGAGGATTGTAGGGGTTTATAAAATATTTCATGAATCAAGTCTCCTTTACTAGCTTAATACATCATTTCAGATCTGCCTTGTTTAGGCATTCGGCTATATGGTGCCTGTCCAAACCCAGCCCTGAAAAGCCGCTGCTCAGACCTACCGTCCTGCTGGAAGGGAAGAAGCCCCGCTCACCCTATTTGGGGTAACTCTTAACCCCTCTGCCCCTGCCTGCTTGCCACTGCCTCTTTACCTCATCCTTCACCCAGGCTGCAATCCTGTCCCTGATTTTGTCCAACCGCATGAACCTCTCCCCTTCCCTGGCCGCACGTGTTTGAACAGCCCGTGAATGCAATTCACAGCCCACTGCACAACTTTGGCAGTTTCCCCTCCCTCCACCCTTCGCAGCAGGGAGCACGTTCGGAATCCCAAGTGCGGGCACAGTGAGGGCAGAGGAGGAGTCAGCAGATATTACCGCGCATGCTCAGCAGCCAACTATGACGCTACCGGACTCCCTCGTCTCTTCGGGGAACGCGCTCATTTCAGGGCAGAGGCTTCGCCGGTAGCTACTGCGCATGCTGAGAAGTCTGAGCATGCTCAGTAGCAGTTTAGGGACCAAAACCCGAACTGACTTGACTCAGCCCATGATCACCCCGCAGCCTCAACTGCCCCAGCAGGCCTCGGTGCGGACACCAACTGCCTCGCGCCCGCGAGTAGCCGCTAGGCGGAGCGCTGCTGCTTCGCTTTCCCCAAGCTGTAGGGCCGCGCCCCCGCCTTCGACTGGTGAGTAAGGGGGGCAGCCTCCAAAGTACCCGCCTCCCCCCTTCACACGCCGGGGTCCCTGCTCGCAGCGCCGCTCCGGACTGGGGGCCCCATGCTCGGCCCGGCCGGGGGTGGGGGCGTGCGCAGGCAGCAGTGACGCTGGTGGGGAGCGGAGGGGGTGGTGCCGGGGGGCGGCTGCTCTGACCCAGTCCCTGCGCGCTCCTTTTGCGGGCCGTGGCTGGTCTGCGAGTGAGGAGGGCGCACAGCGGAGTGTCACCTGCCCCCCGCCTGGACGTGCCTGTGCTGGGACCGGGGGCCTGTCTGTGTGTCTGTAGCGCCCGTCGCCACAGGGGCTCAGGCCCACAAGCGTCAGGTATCCTCCGTGGCCCTGAGTCCTCCTGACGCTCCCTGCTGGGCTTACAGCCCCACGTTGCTGGGGTTTGTTTTGTTGTTTAATTTAAATGTTTGTATCACTCACGTTGGTGTGCGAGAGCCTCGCGAATCAAGGGGGAAGCTGGCACACTGTGCGGAGGAAACTGAAAATGGCTCTTAAGCTAAGGTCCGATTAGTCCCAAGTGTACATAAACTGGCAGAACCAGCCGGCAGTTTCTCTCTTTAAACCCTCTTAGTTGTAACAGTTTTAAGTGGGGTAATGCCGTAGATTCTCCATCACTGGCAATTTTTAAATAAAAGTCGGATTTTGGACGTTCTAGTTCAAAGAGGATTTAACATGGGCCTAGCATTTGCTGAATTAGCTAAGGGGGGCAGACTAGGTGATCATGGTGGTCCCTTCTGCCTTATAATCAATGAATTTATTGAAGCCTTTGCAGGACTGGGACACTACCATGTCTAAATACAATAAAATATTTAGCATTGATGGATCCTTGACATTTCTGCCACTATTTGCTCTAAAAATTCAGGACAGGTTAATCAAAAATAAGGTTCGCATTCTGTCTACGGTATAAAAATAACTTTGTTTAAATATGTTTGAACCCAACGATGTTATAGCCTTTTGGCATGGAAGGAGGGAGGAGAGGGGAGGGGAACTGGATGGAACAGAAAGAACCGTGTTATAATTATATTATGACTTGTTTTAATTGTTTTAGACAGAGAAATGAAAATATGGCTCTCTCTCCTACACAAACAAACCACTGTTGTTTTTTCAGTTTGTGTCATCAAAACCTACTCAGTGGAGCACAAAGATAAAATTGCCAATGACTGGTTTCAGCTACGGTGCTGAAGTTCAAGTAATCACAGATACCATGCAAATGAAAATTGATCTCATGATACTACTAGTTTCAGAGTCATAGACTCTTCCAGGAGGAACAAGTTAGGCAATATTTAAATGAATATGAAAAACAAGCTGAAAAAAATCAGAACTTTCAGACCTTATTTTTAATGCATTTTTTAATCCACATATTTATGAGACAAAAAAGATTATGCTTGAGAGTTATTAAGAAGGGGTAAAATTACATTAACCTTGAAGGAACAAGACCCATGGATTTCCTCTCAGGATGAGAGGCAAGAATTAGTAATATGAAAGCCATATGGAAATTATTATTGCAGGACACAAATGGTGGTAGAGGAAAAAGTGGCTTTTATGTCTGCAGTCTCTAAAGATTTGGTAAAAAGTAGCTTTTTCATATATAGGAATTTAGAAAGCTGTGAGTAAAGTAGATATGTAAGGGTTTTAGAGAAATAAAGACTAGTGAAATATGGATTACACAATCATGCACATGGAAAATGTCAGATTTTACAGAGTCCTTATGGAATGAGAGATGTTTCAGTATCTTTATCTATAGTAGGAGTAGCTAAATTGGTAGATTTCAAATATTTTGAGTCCCATATCTAAGCCCTACTCCCCAGACCAGGAGGAAGAAACTGGAACAACTCTAACAAATGTTTTGAGACTTCAGGAGTTGAGCCACCAATTTTGTTTCAAGTTAAACTCAGTTGCCTACATTACTGACAACAGGTAAAAAATAAGTTAATGTGTGCAGCTGCATTCCAAGGCAAAATGCATGATGATTAGGCTTGGTAGAATTCAATTTTTATTTTATAATTTCAACAGATAATATTGACTGCTTCCTTTTTAAGTATTTTTTATTTTAAATTCTTCACAATTGCGCATGTTGGGATGGGTTTTAAGCATTTTTTTGTCAATTTTTAGAGATTTAAAAGTTCACAGTTGAGAAATTATGGGCAGGTCAGAAAGTAGGGAGGGCCTGACAATTATTTAATAACAGTGGAAGTTGACATTTTAAAAGTTAAAGCTTTATGACAATTAAAATACAAATTGTCAACATCATGTGTCAATACACAAAGTAAATATCATTACAACAACTTAAATGAACTTAAATAAATTGCAGAAGCAGTTTAAATCCCATGGATTTACCAGTGATAAAGTATCCTCTTGAAACAGTGCAGAAGGGTTCATTTACAAGTTGAACAGCCATTTTCACTGATAAAGACCTGTGACGGAGTTGTCTATATAACAGTTAATGGTCAGTTGCCAAGTTTGTTATGATGTCTCCAAGTTCCAGTTAGGATCCCGGGGCCATTGAGCAAAGCATTGTACAAATCCATACAATAAGAGGGTCAGTGTCCCAAGCTTACAATCCAGAGTCTGAAATTTGTATGTTTACTCCTGTGGGAATTCTGCGCCAAAAACCTAAATTCCGTGCACAGTGTTTTAAAATTTTGCATATCTTATCTGTCAATATAATGCATTATAATCATACCGGTTTCAGTTATTTTGGTTTATTTCAAAATATCTGTCAACAAGTATCTCTGTTACAATACAGATGACAAAAAAGATTCAGGAAATGTTTTTTGACAAATAGATTCCTTACCAGGCTTATTAATACAGAACTTTGCATAATAATTCATTTAAACTACAATACAGAAACTTATTTCCCACACCCCTTATCTGCACCCCTCAGAAGAAGTGCAAAGGTCTTTGCTTGGGGGAGTCAGGGGTAATGAGCGAGAGGGAAGTAATTTTTGGAAAGGCGCCTGGAAGTGAACCTGGAGGATTGTTGGGTGTGAGTGGGAGAAGTATGGAACATTTTTTTGGGAGGAGGGAGGATTGTTAGGGAATTGGGGTGCCTCCCCCAGGCAGACCCTGGCTGACCTCTAGCCTCTCCCATTCAGTCAGGCACATCTGCCTCTGTCCCCGTGTGTACCTGCACCCTCCACTCAGCCACCTCCTTACTCCTGTCCCCATGTGTCGCTGCACCCTTCTCCCCACATCCTATCTATCCCTGCACTGCCACTCAGCTACTCCTTTGATCCCATGTGGCCCTCCACCCCCCACTCCCATTAAGCTCCTGGCTCAATGCTGTCCCCCCAGTAGTTCCTGTGCCCCTGCCCCAGTCTGTCTCCCCCAATCCTTCTGAACCCCAGTCAATGTGACCCCCAGCAGCTCTGGGTGGCCTGCGGTCTGTCACCCCTCAATATGCCGTGCCTCTTCACCTGTCCCCACGGGCAGGGGGCTGTGAGGAAAGCATCCTCTCTGGGACTGACTGCTCTAGCCCTGAAATGGCTGCTCTCTCTTTTGGTGCTATAGCGGCCACTGGTGAGTGTAATTGCAGTGCCTCTTCAGCAGAATGTAGTATTTTACAAAGGGGGAAAAATCTACAGGAGACATGAATTCTGTGCATGCACAGTGACATAGAATTCCCCCAGGAGTATCAAGTGCACAAAATAAAAAAATCACAGCTATATTATGGTGTTTCTGTCAGTGACACAGGGTAAGCACAAAGCAGTGGCTTGGAAATAATGTAACCAGAATTCTCATTTCATAGGGTTTAGTGGCAGCTTGGGAAAACCAGGAAGCCAGTTGAAAGGTAGGATGTTCCTTAAAATGTATAATCCTTGGATGCTGTAAAGCTTCACTTCATGGTTCACTAAAACATGTCTGCATGTTCTTTGAGAATGTATGTGTTGATTTTGTCGTCTTTTTCCCAGCAAAGGCAATATGTACAAGAGTATGCAAACATAGTGTATTTTTAGAAATTAGTTATGTTTATTCCTATATCTCTCTTATTTAGAAATTTTATGAAGAGTTTAATATTGTTGAATTGATAGGTGACAAGAAATCTGATTTAAAAATATTTTTTTCTTGACCAGTTGTAGCTGGAAACCTGTTGTTTGGACGTTGAACTATGACATCATGGCAAGATTTCACAGAAGAACGTGCATTATTTTGTTGCTTTTTATTTTATTCATTTGCTCCATGATGATGGCTTTGAAGACTCTGAGACCTGACAGAGCTGGTTTTGGGGATCCATTTGGACTTGGTCTCTTACCGGAACTTCAACGGACAACACTCTTGGAAAATAAACACAGTCCCCTAACTGCTGCCAGGGGGGATAGCGTAACACACACCAATAATTTGCACACTGTTGCATTGAATAGCATTAAAACATCTATGGCCTCTGTAAGAAAGATGGAAGAAGAATTGCCTTCCCCTAATTATAACTTTCATGTGTTCTACTACAGCTGGTTTGGGAATCCACAATATGATGGTAAATATATTCACTGGAACCATCCACTGGTGCCACATTGGGATTCCAAAATTGCAAACAATTACCCAAAGGGAAGACACAATCCTCCAGATGATATTGCATCCAGTTTTTACCCTGAACTTGGAACTTACAGCTCTAAAGACCCTTCTGTCATAGAAGCCCACATGCAACAAATGCGTTCAGCCTCTGTTGGTAATAAATGTTTGTTTATTTTTGGCATAGTAGTAATTTGTTTGACCTCAGATACTTGAGTGAACAGAACTGTTCACCTCCTTTGTTTTCTCTAGATATTGAAATGTAAGGGGACTTTGGTATTTTCTTTTTGTGTGCACAGGAGATTTGTGTCAATGATAACTTCATGAGAACTTCTGTTTTTAACAAGTGACTTTGTACTTTATGTTCAATCCCTAACTTAGTCTCTCGTCTTCCAAGCTGCTTCATACAGATAGACCTGTTCAGAGCAGATGCAGGATTGGGGATTGCAGATATATCTATAGCTGTTTAGATGAAGGAATTTGATATTATTTGTTTACTTGTTTAACAGTACTCTGTGTGTAGTGTATAAAATAGAAAGATACAGATATAGGCATTTTTGTAGTGGATATGACGTCTATCAAGTAGAGAAGATCAGTGCTAGATGTTTCTGTAATGGTTCTCAGGCAGACTTGCTTGTATTTACCAGGGTGTCAGCTCCCTCACATCTTCAGCCTTCAGAGTAGCAGCCGTGTTAGTCTGTATCCGCAAAAAGAAGAACAGGAGTACTTGTGGCACAAGAAGTGGGCTGTAGTCCACAAAAGCTTATGCTCTAATAAATTTGTTAGTCTCTAAGGTGCCACAAGTACTCCTGTTCTTCTATCTTCAGCCTGTTAGCCACCCAAACAGTCTCTCCAGACTCGGCCTTACTTTTCCTAGTTTAAAAATAGGTACACCCCAGTCCACCCCTTTGAAGCAGTCCCTTATCCACTGAATACTTACAGAAATCCTAAGTTTGCTGCCTACAAGGGGATAGTGTACACACCAGCTTCTGTGATCGTACTCAGAATCAGTACCTTGGTTAATATCACAGCACTGAACTACATTTATAATGAAAACAACATAAGTTTATCAAATGTTCAAGCGATAATGACTAAAGATAATGGAAACATAAGGTCACATATAAAATAATTACAAACCACTTTCTAGAGACTAAATTTAACATACTAACTTCCAGTCTAAATAAGTTTCTCACACCCAAAGTCTCTTGCAGAGTCTTCCACCAAGGTAAGAAGAGATCCTGGTTTCATAAATGTAACTGTGTCTTCTGTTTATATCTTACATGCAGGGTAAAGCTGTGTCTTTTTGCCTTTTCCTTCTGTTCCCCAAAGTTCATTGTCTGTCCCCGGACAGACAGTGTACTGCCTCCCTGTTGATTTTTAGATCCCCCATTGTCTTTGTAAATGACTCTCCATTGCGTTAACTTACAGTGCTTAATTTACATGCTAGAGAGATTGGTGAATAGGCATCCTTTGACAGAAAACTCCATTTATCAACTCTGCCTCAACACAGATCTTAAAACATATATACTTACACTCCTTATATAGTATCTGTCTAGAAGTTTCACAACAATATTATTGACCAACATGATTGATCCTGGCTTTCATTTATGATTTCACACGATGTTCTTTGGTGAACCAGAATGTATGTACCAGGATCAGTGTATTGTAATCGCATTGCCAGTTGGCATTGAAGCGTTTGAGTCAGTTTCAGAGGCTGGTTCAAGAAATCCCATAATAGACAATTATGGAATAACCTGTCCACAGAGGAACATTCTAGCCAACCACTATCACCTAATAATTGTTTTATGCCCTGATTTATGAGGGATTATATCCCTTGTACAATTTTCCTCCTGTACTTTGTAACTAAGGAAATTCTTACTATCCATATACATGTCCAATGCTTCTTTGAAATTTGTTAAGCTCTTGACAACATTAATGCCTGGTAGAATGGGTTGTACTGTAGGCTAATTGTTTAATTTTTTAAAACTTATAGACCAGTATTTCCTTTATCTCTTAAATTTAAAATTTATTAATGTGATTCATTGTTTGTCCCCAGTTTTTATATTAAATGAGAGGGAGAACATAAATAGGAGCACTCAGCTTAACTTTTCTATGCCATTCTTCATTTTATATACTTCTATTATAGCCCTTCTTATTTATTTCTTCTGTAAACTAGGCAGTCATAATCTTTTCTGTTTTTCCTCTTTTGGATTTCTTTTTATGCTTCTAATTATTTTATCATATGCATCTGGACCCCCTTCTGTTTCTACAGATATATTATTTGACCAGACCTGACCACAGTATTCAAGGTGAAGACTTACTGTCAATTGGTATAATGCCATTATAATGTTTTCATTAATATTTTCTATCCCAATCTTCATACTTCCTAACATTGTTAGCTTTCTTGACCACAGCTACATATTGAGCAAAGATTGATATGTTCATATCAGTGATGGGTTTTTGTTTTTGTTTTTTAAGAAACTTAAATTTCCTGTTGTTACTAACACTGGGACAGTTCCATTGGTGTTAGCAACAGTGAGAGCACTAGTGTGGGCAGGTTGCTGCTGACATAGTAAGCACAGTGGTGTTTTCTCTCACTGGCAAAGTGATTAAAACACTTGCAACAATTATCACCTTGTTTACAGTTTTATAAGGTATAATCCGTTAAGCTTCAGGCCATAATCTTTACCTCTAGTAAAGCTGAATTGGTGGAGAACATTAGGAAGAAATTCCTGGTGTAGACAAGACTTGATGCATTCTTCTTTTTGCCGAGTAATAACAGTTGATTTAGGACTCAGCAGTGTGTGTGAATAGTTTAAATTATTTCTTTCAGTGTACATTGCTGATACACCTATATAAGGTTCCTCTGAATTTTATCTTAGTCAAGACTAGACAGAACCATCTCAAATAATTTCATTTTATTTCAGAGTTCACTTGCTTTTGTGGATCCTTAATTGCTACAATAAACATCAGTCCTAGTATGGATGTTTGGGATACTGTTCACCTTTTCCTGTGCTGCAGAACTGACCATTATTCCCATTATTTGTCTCTTAGACAGTTTCTAATCCATCACAGTACTTTACATCTGGCCTTAGTTTTCTTACTAGCCTTTTATGTGGGCCTTTACGCTTTCAAACAGACTTAGTTAAATAAATTGGCTTTAACCAGTTCTATTATCCACTATTCTGGTGGTGTGGTCAAGGAATTCTAGAAGATTGGAGAGGCAGAATTTTCCTTTACAAGGTTCGTCCTTATCACATGGTTCTGCTAGATATTTTATAACTCTTTATTTCAATTAATTTATCTGGTTCTGAAGTGTATCTCACTAGTTTATAATGCATGGGTATGCCTAATAGGTCCAACTTTTGCTATCCTCCATCAGTGTCTGATTTTAGTGAGATTGCGCTGCTAACAAAAATATTCAATCACTTGAACCTTCAATTCTTTCAGATCTGTGGAATGAGTACCAGGTTCTAGTGGCTTGCTGCTATTTACTTTTTTTAGTTTGTTCCTCCCTTTGCCACTTCAGTCTCCAAGAGTACTTCTCTTTTTTACCTGTGAAGAGAAGATCTGTAGTAAGTACCTTCTTAACAACCTCTGGGGTGAAAACTAATACAAAAATATAAATCAGAGCAGTGCAGAGAAGCTGTCTTTTTCCTCAGTTGTTCCCTATGTGCCTTAACATCCAGTGCACCCATTGATTCTTTGCAGGCTTCCTGTTCCAGGTGTATTTTGAGAATTTATTATTCTTATATGCTTATCTATGTGCTCTCCTCATGCCCTTTTACTTTCCATCTTAAATTTTTCTTATCATATTTATCCTTTTCTATTGGTTTCACTTGAGCTGGATTTCTCTTATTTCTATAACATGACCATTGAACCATACTGGATTTATTTTGTTTTCCATTTCTTCCTTTTTTTATTTAGCACCATGCAAATGTCTTATGATGGAATTACTGTATACTCATTATCCTCCACGATTTTCTCAACCATGTCCCAACTTGATATCTGACCAGTTTATGTGCAGGTAGTTGCACGTTGTATTATTCCTATTCTATTAGATTTTGTTGCTGGTTCAGTCTCCTAAATGTCATGCTCTCAAATATAATTTTCTGAGCTTGGAGGTTGGTAGTATGTTCCTACTTGTACTTGTATTTTTATGTTTGTGATTAGTTTCCATACACATTCTTCTGTAAAGTCCTCTTCACTCAAAATTTTATCTCATTAGAGTGTATGAAATCTTTTAGATATAGTACCCACTCTCCCACTTCTGTGAACTGTCATTCATGTATAATTACTTTAATACCTGGCTGTAAATCCCAACAGTTGTTGTCCTACTGCATTTCAGAAATATATATTATTTCAAAGTTCTGTTCCAGTGCAAGTCATTGTTTGCTAATGTATTCTGTCTCAGCTTCTCTGATACTTTTTACAATATGCATATCAGATGTACTTTTTTAAAGTAACGTGGCATTTTTCTCAAATTTACAAATAAGTTATTTGGGGAAGGTATATTTGCTTCCTTTGACTTATTTTCATATTCAGCAGCAACTAGTGCCATATTTCTCTGTCAATTAAAATTTTTTCCTGAGACTTATAACTCAGGAATAATTTCATTAACCTTTTTCCTTTTTTTTTTAAAGGATTCTGTATCATGACTGTTGGTTTTTTATTGAGGAAGCAAGAACTAGAAAAACCTGAAAGTGTAGTCTTTTAAGTGTTTAGTACAGTTGGATGGACAAGACAGGAAAAGGAGATTGCTGTTGCATTGGGGTCTGAAATTGAATTGTTTCAAGATAGTGCTACTGGCAATCCTGTTTGTGGACTTGTAGAATATGCATATGCTATGTATTTTCCTCCCGGGGAAATCCTGGACTACTGGCAATCTTATTATACTGTCTGCTTCAATTTGACTTATTTCTTAAGGAATCTGTCTAAAGTCTAAAAGTTGTTTTTGTTATTGAAAAGAAAAAGGCTCTTCAGATGGACCAGAAAACATTCCTCTGCTAGATTCTTGTGGGAATTTTCTAGGTTATTATCTTATAATTTCTTGATTTAGTCATCATAAATTTTCATTTAAACTTTAGCCTGGATACCAGTAGTCAGTGATTTATACAGAACTATGCATAACCCATGCATTAACTGAGTCTTATAATAGTGGCATAACTTATTTGTCATGAGATAGTGGGCCTGCTCTAATCCCATTAAACTCCAGAAGCTTTGCTATTGTCTTTAATGGGAACAGAATGAAATGATCCAGTGATTATATGTCAGTGTTAGCGTTTCCAGTGGAATTAAAATTTTACTTGCATTTCCATAAAATACACAATGCTATTCAAAATGGTTTTAAAACATTAAGTACAGGAATAAAACTTATTGAAAAGACTCTTGTGCCAAATCAATTTATGGCTATTTTTTTGTAAGTATGTAATGTTATTTTCAGATCTTTGTTGTCTATGGACCATATGATTTATGGTCCACTGGCTGTGTCTACAAAGTTAGACCCATGTGCCATCCTTTTCCTTGATCTAAAGGCAACCTGTGACAGTCGGTCAATAAGAATGTGGTGCAGAGATCATGGGTAGTGTAACCTTTATGTAATAACTAAGGCTTTTAGTTAGTAAATATACTGTTGCATTTAACATCACTCAGAGGAATGGAGGGGAATTGTACAAGGCACTTAAAATTCCACCATGGCTATTTCTGTACCTTGCTTATTTGACAATCTGCATACAATTATAACATTGGTGTGTACATCTGCAGTAATTGCATAGTCAAATTAGATGTATAGCTGCATTTGAAAGCCTTGCCCTTCACTTATTTCATTTAAAAAAAAATTCAAACCATACTTATATATTGTTCTTGGCTGTAAGAAGTATTTACATATATTTTTTATCAAATGCCAATCTTACTCAGAAATGACAATTATTCAGTTAGCTGTATAAACTGTTAGCTATAAATATCATGTTAATGTATATCATGTACACACTTCTGTTTCTTTAAACTTTTAGTAGGCATAATGTTGTTTTTGGTGGTATAACTCAAGCTCATATTTTATATCTTAGGTGTCATAGCCCTTTCATGGTACCCTCCTGGTATGGCTGATGAAAATGGGGAACCTGGTGAAGATTTGGTGCCTGTTATTTTGGATAATGCACATAAACACAATCTAAAGGTATAGTAATTTTAAAGTGTTCATATTCAGTACATCTCTAGATCAAATGTACAGATATATGTTCATAAACTATATAATTAGTTCTCTTTTAACGGTTGTATATATTTTGGATTTAAACAGACTTAAAGCATTATTTTTCATGTAGCGTGGCATGTAGAGAATTTCAAAGTGAATTGTTAGTAGTTTGGCTTTCATGAAACTAGACCGTTTATCTTGATTTTTAAGGTGCTTTATCTGTGTTCATACCTTCTTCTGGGTTTTCTTTTCACTTACCTTTTGAAGTCATTGTATAAATGTTCTAAGAATTTTAAATTTTCTTTTGTGAATTTGTACCACCTATTTTAAGAGGTCTGTAATAGAGTTCAATTCATAGGAACTCCTTAAATGACTTATTTAATTGTAATATTATAGTGATGAGTAATATAATTTAAGATAGAATAAAGCATTAGACTTCATTAATTGTAGTTTAAAGTAAGTTTGGGGTTTTTTTTTTTTTAAAAGCTCTTTCTATAGTCAAATAACTCGGTCCCCCCCTTTTTTTTTTTAATTGATGGAAGCAGCATTGGTTCACTTTCTACAATAGTAACCCAGAACCTCTAGTTTAAATAAAAATTGGCTTTTTAAAAAGAAAAAGTGCTAGAAAACACTAATTTCTACAAGAAGTATTTTAATAACTTAGTACTATGACTACAACAACTTTTTAATAACTCTTTAATATTATCCTTTTTAAGAAAACAAACCCTGTATGAACAGAATGTGCTTGGACATTCATGAGTTAAATGTGGATCCATTTCCACAAATAGCCTGTAGGCTAGTGGAAGCAGTATGTGTTAAAGCAGGGGTGGAAATTGTATGGCAGGCCATGAATGCTCACAAAATTGGGGTTGGGGTATGGGAGGGGGTGAGGGCTTTGGCTGGGGGTGTGGGCTCTGGGGTGGGGGCCAAAAATGAGGCATTCAGGGTGCAGGAGGGGGCTCTGGGCTAGGGCAGGGGAGTGGAATGCAGGGTGGGGGTTGAGGGCTCAGGCTGGGTGTGCAGACTCTGAGGTTGGACTGGGGATGAGGGGTTTGGGCTGTAGGAGGGTGCTCCAGGCTGGGACCGATAGGTTCAGAGGGTGGGAGGGGGATCAGGGCTGGGGCATGGGGGGGGGGGAGGGTGCCTCAGGGGTGCTGGCTCTGGGCGGCGCTTGCCTCAAGTGGCTCCGGAAGCAGCGGCATGTCGCCTACTACACGGGGGCGCGGCCAGGCGGCTCTACTGCGTGCTGCCCCATCCGCAAGTGCCGCCCCTGCAGCTCCCATTGGCCATGGTTCCCGTCCAATGGGAGCTGCGGGGGCGGCACTTAGGGCAGGGGCAGCATGCGGAGCCCCCTGGCTGCCCCTATGTGTATGAGCTGGAGGTGGGACATGCCACTGCTTCTGGGAGCCGTGCGGAGTGCCCCCCGACCCTGCTTCCCAGATGGAACACTGGAACAGGGCGAACCCCAGACCCCGCTCCCCAGCGGGAGCTCGAGGGCCGGATTAAAACGGCTGGCAGGCCAGATCCAGCCCTTGGGCTGTAGTTTGCCCACCCCTGTGTTAAAGTAATGGAAACAAATTGACTTCTGAATGATCAGTATAAACAGTATCTCCACCAATAGATGCTTATGTATCTTTATCTTAGTGTTAAGTCCATTGTCTTGTGTGTTGTGTTGGGGGTTTGAGTAGTAAGTTAAGTCCTGCCTGTGTTGCTGGTGGTGTTACCTGTAGTGTTCCAATAAATCCTGGGATTCTATAAGTGACTATTACACTTTCTTCCCAGGTTTTTTGTGGTGGTCACAAAATCTCTGGAGATAGTATGTATTCCAAAGGAAAAAACTAGGGCGATGCTCTAGATGATAGAAGAGACTCAGTGTGGGCAGTGCAAATACCATGCTTTGTCTGGGTTTATTTGTCAACACCTAAAGAGAAGAATGCTTTGTGGTTAAGGCACAAAAACTAAGAACCTCCTCAAACCTTGCCACTTTCCATTTCAAGTACAAGTGCACTTCTTTGACCTTGTCTTCAAAAATAAATGCACATAACACAGCGGACATAAAGGGTACAATTTTTAAAAGTGCCTAAGTAACTTTTGAAAATAGGACCTCGGCACTTTTAAAAATTTTATCCAAAATTAATAAAACAAAACAAAAATACTTGCATTCTTTTTCTTTCCGAGAGGAAAATTAGAGAGCAAGAATCACACGTGACAAATAACAGTTGTGACACTCAATACAGTTCTGGAAGATGCTCAAGTACTACAATGGTAAGGATGGAGTGCAGGAGATCTGGGTTCAGTTCCCAGCTGGTCACAAACTTCTGTGTGACCTTGGGTCAATTTCTTTTTCTTTCTGTGCCTTGTTCTCCTCATCTGTAAAATGGGAATAATAATACCTCCTAGTCTTACAGGGTGTTATGAGGCTAGACTAGTTGTTTGTGAAGCAATCAGAAATCCGCTAAGAGTGCTGTAGAAAAGCATACACAAAGAAATACACCCCTTTGTTGTGCTGTTAGCTTTCTAAGTAATAACTGAATTTCTTCAAGCAGAGAAAAGGCTGGAGGAAGGGACAAAATAAGGATTACAGGAGTTAAAATCTTAACTTCTCTATTTCTTTTCCCAAGTCCTGGTTATGTATCTACCTTTTGAATACTATGGATAAAGGGACAAAAAGCAATTTTGACTTTGAAAGAGAGAAAAATCAGCAGATCCTATGACTGTTATTTGTAAGTCCCTACCTAATTCACGGTATGTTTTGGTCAATTTCACGGTCATAGGATTTTAAAAATCATAAATTTTCATGATTTCAGATATTTAAATCTGAAATTTCACAGTGTTGTAATTGTACTGGTCCTGACCCAAAAAGGAGTTGTGGGGGAGTCACAAGGTTATCGTAGAAGGGGTTGTACTGATACCCTTACTTCTGCACTACTGTTGGCGGTGGCACCAACTCTGAGCTGGCTGGCCAGAGAGCGGCAGCTGCTGGCTGGAAGCCCAGCTCTGAAGGCAGAGCTGCCACCAGCAGCAGCACAGAAGTAAGGATTGCGTGGTATGGTATTGCCACCCTTACTTCTGAACGGCTGCTGGCTGGGGGCCCGGCCGGTAGCCACCACTCTCCGGCTGCCCAGCTCTGAAGGCAGCGCAGAAGTAAGGTTAGCAATACTGTGATCCCCTTAAAATAACTTGTGACCCCCCCCCCTTTTGGGTCAGGACCATCAATTTGAGAAATGCTGGTCTCCCCCATGAAATCTATAGGGTAAAAGCACACAAAAGACCATATTTAATAGGGGGAGACCAGATTTCATGGTCCGTGACGTGTTTTTCGTGGCTGTGGATTTGGTAGGGCCCTAGTTATTTGCAAGGGAGATTCAAGTTATGTGCATTTTATTAATCCCAAAGGTAAGATAAAAGCAGAATAATAACTCATTGAAGCTGGCAAACATGGAGCCCAAGCGTTTCTTGCCTAATTTAAGGAAAGCTATGTTGTTCTTCCAGTCTAAGGGTTTTTTATTATTATTATTTCAGTTGGGTATTGGATTTTGCATGTTTGGATTTTATTCTGAAGCTTGGCTTTTTAGGTGGTGTGGTTATTTCTTTTTATTTAATTTAAAGTAAATAAACATAATGCCATTTAAGTGGTTAACACATCTTTTGTGTCCTTACACTACATTTTTAATAAAGTGTGTCACTCTTGTATTGTAGCCAAATGTGTTTTCCATGCTAAAATATTATTACTAGTCAAGGTAATTTTTTTGAGCCAGCTGACTCCACATGTTCTTAATAAATATTTGATGTTGGTTATGGCCTGCTTATAGAGGCTGGGAGTACATGTGCTTAGACAACTGGCTGCTCAAATACGCCACTTTGGAGTGTGTCAGAGGGCAATATATGACCCATTCATGTGGTGGTGATTCATCATGACTAAGGCTACGTTTTAGTCACCAATATTTTTAGTAAAAGTCATGGACAGGTCACGGACAAAAATTGACGGCCTGTGACCTGTCCATGACTTTTTAGTAAAAATACCAGTGAATAAAACTT